ACCATTATTCTTCTAGTATATGGAACTGACCAACTTCAGTGATTATGTGTGATTTAGTTGCAAATTGAAGAAAAGTTTGTTTTTCAAAGCACTTTGTGATGTTTTTACTTCATACACAAAAAAACATCAAAACTCTGACAAAATCTGATTTCTTGATGATTTGACATTTTATAATAGTGATTTTATAATTATTTTATCATTTCAAAATATAAAGGAAAAAGTATAAATGAATGACTAAGCCAATAAGTGCTCCTCTGCTGCCATCTACAGGTTATAATGGTGATTTGATGTACATGGTTATAGACAGCGTTACTGCTTCTGGTTTTCTACGTCAGCTTTGATCTGTTTATAACAGAGATTTCTGTGCAGAATTTGAATGCTTCTCATCTTGCAGCAACCTTTATTCATTCTGCGGCGAATTCAAACGCTTCTCACTGGATCTTACAGCGCTGTGCTGTAACAGTGTCGGGAAATCAACTTTAGTTCCCAAGTAAAGCTGTTCTGAGCTCAGACAAGTTTGTTTGCATCGTGGTCCGAGCTGTTAAACGGTCCGCGCTGCGCAGCTCAAACAAGTAGCAGGATTTCGTTTCGCTATTGTTTCGTCTGCCGTTTGATGTTTCTCAAATGCAACAGAAATGGGAACGTGAGTTGAACAACGCGGTGGTCGCGCCAGTGCGACCGGCCACAAAATGTACTCGCACCGGCAGAAAAAATGGTCGCAGTCTGGAGCCCTAATTAGTCTACAATTATACATAAAATATTATTGAAATCAGACCAATATCGATAATACAAATAATAAAAAATTATAATAAAGATCATGAGTTTCTTAGAGTAAAAGACCAACACAAGTGGATGTTTGATTATTTATGTTTGAGTACCTGTGGTGTTCTGGATAAAACGGGCCTCTTGAATCACAGCTAGCTTGGGTTGGACGGCAGCAGCGGAAGCAGCAGCAGGGGGCGGGGCAGAGGCAGGCTCTGGCTCCATGGGAACAGGTGAGCCTTCCCGTGATAGGCTGTCGGGGGTCTGCACACCGCTGGAGTGGGCGGAGAGAACGCCCGAGTGATTGGGCGACGCCGGTGCGCTCCTGTCATCAGAGTCCAACACGTCAGGATGCATTTTACATACATTACCGCTCGAAAGTTTGGGGTCAGTAAGATTTTTTCAAAAGAAATTAATACTTGTATTCAGCAAGGATGCATTAAATTGATCATAGGGGACAGTAAAGACAAAATATTTCTATTTCAAATTAATGCTGCTCTTCTGAACTTTTCTATTCATCAAAGAATCCTGAAAAACAAAATGTTTCAGACTTTCCACAAAAATACGAAGCAGGACGATTGTTTTCAACATTGATAAGAACATTGTATGCTTAAAGGTCAGTGCTATGACCCTGACCTGGATGAGAGGGGTCCCAGCGGGGTCCTGAAGCACGGGACGCCCCGTGGCCGGCGTTTCCTGAATGCCTGCTCCACGAGTTTGCTCTCAGATGACGGGTCTATCCTCCAGAATGAGCCCTTGCCCGGCTCTTCCTGTGAGCGTGGGACTTTGATGAAGTACCGATTCAGTGACAGGTTATGACGAATCGAGTTCTGAAACAGAGAAATTCATTTATACTGTCAAGTTACATCGTCATCCATCTGATGCATAGATTCTGACAGACATAGTAAGCAAGTAAGTAACTATTTTTGTAATTTTGTTATTTTTTATAACAAACTAAATTATAAAAAAAATAAGAAATTAAGTCTGTTCAGTTCAAACAGCATCGTCTTCAGCTGATCTGACGGTGTGGTACTGACCTGCCAGCCTTTATCTGCTGTCCTGTAGTACGGGTAGTTCTTGGTGATGTGTGTGTAGATGCCGTTTAGTGTTAGCTGCTTGTCCTGCGCCATCGTTACTGCCTGAACGATCAACTGAGCATACGAGTACGGGGGTTTGGAGTCATCCTAGAGCAACAGAGACAGATTATTAGAAGATTTGACCTTTCAGATTAGCTCATTTAGATTCTATCAATAGCTTTTAGAGTACTTTTTGAGAACAAAATGTTTGAATAATTAATATTTTTAATGCTTTAATGTTTTTGAAAGAAGCCTCTTCTGTTCAACAAGACTGCATTTATTTGATTACAAATACAGTAAAAAACAGTAAAATTGTCAAAACTATTACAATTTAAAATTACTCCAGTCTTCAGTGTCACATGATCCTTCAGAAATATAACATAAATCTAATCTAATATGATGATTTGCTGTTCAAGAAACATTTCTAATTATTATCAATGTTGAAAACATTTGTGCTGCTTCTTATTTTTGTGATAAACTGAGACATTTTATTTTTCAGGATTCTTTGATGAATAGAAAGTTCAAAAGAACAGCATTTATTTGAAATACAACAATAATGTAACATTATAAAATCACCTTTGGTCAATGTAATGCATCCTTGTTAAATAAAAATATTACATTTCTTTCTTTCTTGTTTTTTGTAATCACACTTGCCTGAAACATTTGAATGATCACCATTTCCACAAACATATTGAAGCATATTAGAATGATTTCTGAAGGATCATGCGACACTGAAGACTGGAGTAATGATGCTGAAAATTCAGATTTGATCACCGAAATAAATTACATTTTAACGTATATTCAAACAGATAACAGTTATTTTAAATTGCAATAATATTTCACAATTTAACTGTTTTTACCATATTTTTAATCAAATAAATGCAGCCTTGGTAAGCAACAAGAGATTTCCTTCCAAAACATTAACAAAAATCTTAATCATTCCTAACTTTTGACTGGTATTATAGATGTCTCTGGTTATTACATCTGATAGTGTGAGGTTTATCAGTACAGAAATTTTGTCACCTTTGGACTGTCTCCTTCTGATGCCTCTTTGTCGTTCTCAGACTGAGAGTTATCATTCATGAGCTGCAGGTCAGGCACGATCCTGCCCAGTCTGTAACCGGACGATCCAGCACCACGCGGACTGGATGGACACGAGTTGGCAGCGCTGACAGAGAAACGACAGAGAAATGTATTACCAAACACTCCAAAACCATCATCTGAAATAGAGCGATGGAAACAGATGGACCGCAGGAAAGGAGGAAGTTTAATTTTCTATGCAGAACAGGAAACTGCCTCATTTGTGTAGCAGCCAAACTCAATTAAATCAATCAAATCAAAGTAGCCCAAAAAGGGACAAAGCTGCAGCTGCAATTCAAACTCAAACACACAAAATCACCAACTCGAAATGAACAAGAACGTCACAGTTTCTGTTCCAAATGCACTTGAAATCTTTAAAAAAAAAGCTTTCATATCATTCTGCTATAAATTATATCTTATCATTCAGCCAGTGTTGTTTTCATTAAAAGTAAAAAAAAAAAAAAAAAAAAAAAAATAAATTTTTTAAAAATAAAGAGGACAACAGAATACTTCATAGATCAGATGACCAGATATCAGATACATATGAGTGAAATTGTAATAGATGCAAAAATTGTTGTTGTTGTTTTGCAATTTACACACATACATGAAGATCCAATCTGAGCTGGATATTGGTAGGAAAGAATAAAAGGAAATGGTTTACAGTGTAAAGGCAGCCTCTGACACACAATGATGGTGTGTGTTGGCAATGCTGTGTTTGCACCTGATGGTGCGTGTTGGTAATGAAGTGTTTGTACCTGATGGTGTGTGTTGGTAATGATGTGTTTGTTCCTGATGGTGTGTGTTGGTAATGATGTGTTTGTACCTGATGGTGTGTGTTGGTAATGCTGTGTTTGTACCTGATGGTGTGTGTTGGTAATGCCGTGTTTGTTCCTGATGGTGTGTGTTGGTAATGCTGTGTTTGTATCTGATGGTTTGTGTCATTAGTGATGTATTTGTACCTGATGGTGTGTGTTGGTAATGATGTGTTTGTACCTGATGGTGTGTGTTGGTAATGCTGTGTTTGTACCTGATGGTGTGTGTTGGTAATGCCGTGTTTGTTCCTGATGGTGTGTGTTGGTAATGCTGTGTTTGTATCTGATGGTTTGTGTCATTAGTGATGTATTTGTACCTGATGGTGTGTGTTGGTAATGCTGTGTTTGTTCCTGATGGTGTTTGTTGGTAATGCTGTTTGTGTTCCTGATGGTTTGTGTCATTAGTGATGTATTTGTACCTGATGGTGTGTGTTGTTTATAAAGTGTTTCCTGATGGTGTGTGTTGTTATAGTGTTTGTACCTGATGGTGTGTGTTCGTAATGATGTGTTTGTTCCTGATGGTTTGTGTTGTTAGTGATTTGTTTGTACCTGATGGTGTGTGTTATTTATAAAGTGTTTGTACCTGATGGTGCCGGTGGGCGAGGGCAGGGGGCTCATGAGGTGAGCGATGTTATCTGGGATGTTAATGGTTAAAGGGGAGATCTGTGGCTGAACCGCTTTCACCGGAGACTCCAGTTCCTGCTTCTCACGCTTGACGCTCGCCAGCGCAGTGAACGTGATCTTGATGTTCGTACTGGGGAACCGAAATGTGCACCTGAGAAAGAGAGAGAAAGCGATTATGCAACTTAAAAGATATAATCGTTATGGTTCGAACAAGCATCAACATGAACCTAAGAATGAGATCTGCGGCCAAAACAAAGCTTCACACTTCCAAAACACATAGGTGGAGCGTTTAAGGTAGAGAAGAGGGCGTTTAACATTTAAAGATGGGTCTAAAATCATAATATCAATCTATCGTTTTTACAAACAATTAACAAAGAAATACATTCAGCTCATGTTTTACAAGTTAGTCCATTACAAGCATTATCCAAGCACATTAAAGCTGTTTACATGGAAACTGAAATCACAAAAACAGGCAGAGAAACCGAGAAACTCACAGTTAAGGATGTTTATATGTGCAGTCAGTTCAATAAGTGTAATCGGTTTATTAAACGCATGTAAACACGGTTAACGTGCTTCAAACAGAAGTTTTCTTTGACTAAGATGATTGTGGCAATAAAGCCCAGGAGTATAAGTAGATCTCCAAGTGATGCTAAAATTAACCACCCCTTGACGAAGTAATATTCAGTGTTAACACTAACAGCCCTATGAGTAAACAAGTCACTTCACCCACCAAAACATGAACAAAACACAGCTCACACAGAAACCAGTTATTTTAGCACTGCTAATCATACAGCATTACAATAAGATACCGTGTTCAATAAATAATAATAAAATGTACTAATAAATAAATTTTCCAAAATTAAATGCCACTGAAAAAAGCCCTTTATTTAAAAAAGTTAAATATTAATATTGTTATATTTATTTATACTAATAAGATATATTTATATTCATTTAAAAAAAATTATATATATACATTATATATGCACACACATATACACTAGTGCTGGGCGGTATACCGGTTCATACCGAATACCGGTGTTTATTTTTGTTATGATATGAATTTTTAAAATACCGCAATACCGGTGTATGTCGCTTAAACAACGTTCGGAACGCGACACTTTTTGAAAGGGGTCCCTTTTCACTGTTGCACTGTGGTGAGGG